TACATGGAGTGCCCAAGACTATTGTATCGGACCGCGACGTCAAGTTCCTAAGCTACTTTTGGAAGACCCTGTGCGCCAAGCTCGGAATCAAGCTTTTGTTCTCTTCGGCATACCATCCTCAAACCGACGGCCAAACGGAGGTCACGAACCGGACTCTCTCTACTCTCCTACGCATGTTAATCTAGAAGAACATCAGGGAGTGGGAGGAGTGCTTACCCATCACCGAGTACGCCTACAATCTAGCACGACACTCTACTACTGGCAAGTCCCCCTTCGAGGTCGTCTATGACTTCAACCCGTTGTCCCCATTGGACATCTTACCGCTACCACTACAAGAGTGCATCAACATGGACGCGAGTGCACGAGTGAGCTACCTCAAGAAGATGCATCAGATGCCAAGTACAACGATTCACGACCAAGCTCAACATCAACAAGCAACCCATGATATTAAATGTTGGAGATCTTGTGTGGGTACACCTTCATAAGGACCGCTTCCCCAACGAACGCAAGTCCAAGATTCTACCTCGAGCCAACAGACTCTTCAAGGTGCTAGCACGCTACAACAACAATGCATACAAGATCGATCTCCCGCGTGACAAGTACAACGTGAGCGACATCTTCAACATCAAGGATCTCTCCCTACCATGGTGATGAGGCTTTCGATCCGAGGTCGGATCTTTCCCAAGGGGAGGGGAGATGATGCGGAGCATCCCACAGTCATCCCCATGGACCTACCTATGGCTCCCACGACACCACTCAGACCAATGACAAGAGCCCGAGCAAAGGCTATCAAAACTAAGGTGAACTCGCTCCTCTCTGAACTACCACTTTCTACATATGAGATGGCTACTACCTCAAGAAAAACCCTATGCGTGATCATGTACTTGGAGGGAATCCACTGGACAGCTACACCCAACGGACAAGATGACGAGGACACTGAGTACAAGGACAAGGAGGAACAGCTGCTAGGAAGCTACAGCCACCGGACGACCGGCGCCTATCGGATGTCCGACACCTGGAGGCACTAACCGGCCAGCCGAAGTCCCAGCCAGTGCAAGCTCCAGCGGCCGGACGCCCAACAAGGACCGGACGTCCGACACCCCTAGCGCCTGGACGACCGAGCCCCTCCGGACGACCGTGACAACCACTCCAGTACGAAAACATCGGAAGAACGAAGACCACCAGACGACCGACGCAACGGACGTCCGACCCCGACCGGAAGTCCGACGCTGCTTGATACGAGCCGAAATGTCGAACGTCCGACATCTACCAGACGACCGGGCCCCCGCCAGCGATCGGACCTCCGGTAACTATTTGACGACTGACGCATGTCCATGCACAATGTGTTGGGCCAAGGCCCATGTACCCCTTCGCCCACCTAGACTATATATAGTCCTTCTCCTTCCCCTTTCGAAGCTCAGCATAGGTTTAGCTCATTTTAGAGATAGAGCTTTGCTCTTGTTTGTGGTTCTACTCCATCAAGAGACCGCGACCTCTACGGAGAAGATCCACACATGGATTCAAGGCCCCTCGCGGGAAGATCCCTCGCGGATTCAAGGCCTCCTCACGGAGATGAACTAGTCACCACTTGTATCGTCCGTCATTGACTTTGGATCATGTATCTCTTTGTGTGTTCGGATCTAGCACATGTGTAATCGAATCTTGTCGGTTTGAATGTTCTCTTTCTCCTCATGTTCCTCGTGTTCTTTGCGAGATCCGCTCCAATCGTGAAAGATCTGGCATCTAGGGTTCTACCCTACATCACATTCCTGACCCAAGTTTGGGCCGAGTTTGCGGCCGAACGAACACGCGCGGACGGCACATGGCGCCTGCCCATGTCCTCCCCTGGCTCACCCGTCTGGGACGCAGACCTCCCTTTTTCTATCCCCCCGGGCTCCAGCCGCACCCCCGCCACCGCCGCCGCCATTGCCGCTATGCAGCTCGGCCATGCGCTCGCCCCAACCCTTGTGGCAGCCCCCGTTCCCTGGACACCCCCAAGCTTCCCAACCACGACCACCTGATTTGTGCACCCGGTGGTCGGGTTTGCAGCGGATCCGGCGGGATTTGAGCTCGCCCCACGGCGGGGGGCCACGTCGTGCCATGGACTGGACGGGCACCGGGCCGGAAGGCCCCGACAAGGTCGCATGGCCGCATGCAGGTACTGACTCCGCCTCTAGCCGCTCGGATCTACACCGTCGGCGGTTCGCCGACAAATACACGAACGACCGTCGCCCGGGTTCGGTGCCGGCCCAAAGGCTCGTCGGCGCACCGTTACCACTCATAAAGTGCGACGACTGCCCAAGGAAGGTCTTGCGCCGCGTGTCTACAATGTCGGAACATCCCGGATGGGTGTTCGTCAAGTGCTCAAACGATGGGGTATGTGCTACTTTAGCTTCGGTTGTGCTCTCGAATTTGACTAGTTGTACTAACTTCAATTTTTATTGTGTAGAATGGATGCAACTTTTGGTATTGGGAAGAAGAATACATTGATATATTGATAAAGTGCAAATTAGTAGATGTTTGTGCACTTTCAGCTAGAATAAAGGCTAGAGATGAGACTAGTGCACTTGTTGCTGGAATAGAGGCTAGAGATGAGACTAAATGCGAGGAAGTAACGTCTACTTTTTTAGACTCGAAAAAAAAGAAGCACACAAGATTGAGCCTCCGCAGATCAACAATGAATGCATTGAGAAGGCACTAATCCAACTTACATGAGCAGCTATGGAAGTTGGTTATCTTCTAAAATGTCTTCTTGCCGTTCTTGTTTTCTTTGGTGTTGCTTTTCTAGTCAAAAGTTGGTAATGTGCTTCCATGTATCAAAAATTAATGACGAAAATAAAAGATATGTGTTTGCGAAAAAATGTATGCGGACAAGATGCAGCCGCGCGTTAGGAGCACGACCATCGCATCCATGAATCCAGGCGGACACGACCCCATTGTCACCTCCAAAGGGACGAAACGGACGTCCGTTTGAGGCCGTACATTGATGTTGGCCTCATCTCTCGGGCAAACGATCAGAGGACCGAGGCACCCCATCTCGCGGGCACTAATTTTTCTCCCACATGTAGTTATGCCTAGAAGTAGAACTTTTTTACAAATGGTTCATTGCACCACTCGGAGTGAGAAGGAGAGTGCGACCGACGTCTTGTACACATTGAAAGAGGGTGAGAAAGTGAGAAGGGTTAGGGTTGCTAAGAGCCTCTCTAGCGGATCCCTTAAAAGGCTTTAGAGGAGTAAAAAAATAAAAATTTGAGGGGTAAAACTGCACTTAGCCTATCCCTTATATGCTTTAGAAGAGTATAAAGAAATTACTCATCATCGCGGTCGCCCCTTATATTTACTCGAGCGACACATCTTTTAAGAATACCCTCCCCTTCCCGCACCGCCTCCCTTCCTCGAACACACTGCACCCTCCGGCAAGCACTGCAGCCACCCTACACCGTCTCCACACCTCATCCCATGCTTCCAATCGGCCGACATCGCCCGAAATGGAGGGATCTATCCGCTGGACATGGGTGTCCAAGATAAAGGACACGAACACCGGCGTCCGCTACGCTCACGAGGATGAGGCCAGGCCATCCTGGGGGCGGGGGGTGGCAGGTGGATGGCGCGGACGTGATTGAACTTTCAACAAAGATCGAGGCCAAAACAAAGGCAGAGGAAAATGAATAAGCTTATTTGTTTCATTCGAATTGACTAGTTTAATTTTGTGTTATGCAATGTAGTTTGAACTGATTGTACTATCTATGGTTGCATGCGTGTTATGCAATGTAGTTTGAATCAAATTAGGCTATCGATGTCAAATTCATGCAAAAAAAATTAGGAAGCTAGATTTAAGAGTTGCTTTTTTTAGGGCACCGTTTAAGGTATAAAGGGGCCATAAAAGGGCTATCCTCGATTAGTAACACTACATGCTTCATAGATCATTTGAAAACTATCTTTCTACGGTGTCAAACAATAGAACAAAGATGCTCACGCCGGGCTACTTGTTTTCGATCACTTATTATCTTGATTTTGCGCAAGGTGTGGAGATCAATTGCTCTGCTTTACAAGCTCCCAGGTAAAATTACAACCGCACAGTTATGATCCAAGAGACCTGGGACTGAGCAGCAGTTCAAATGGCTACTCTGACCCGAGCTGCTGAAGTGAACAAACACATGCAGCTATCTTGTAAACGCAGGCTGCCAATCCTCATCCACTGGGGCTAGGCATGCATGCTGCTTACTACCTCCATTCGGGTTTATTGGTCCCCATTGTATTTCGTGTCAAATTTTGACTATAGATTAAACTAATAAAACTTTCCATGTGCCAGAGCCATGAGTTGGTTGCGAGATCTTATGGGTTTCACCTCTAGCCTACCCCAACTTGTTTGGGACTAAAGGCTTTGTTGTTGTTGTTATTGTTGTTGTTGTATTAAACTAATAAAACTTTCACGCATGTCACCAAACATTATATTTTTAAAAACTATGTTCAAATACGAATCCAATGAGATAATTTTTCTTGACATGCATTAACATTTTGTTAGTTAAATCATTAGTCAAAATTTGGCACAAACTATAAAGGGGACCTATAAACCAGGACGGAGGTAGTAATGTTTAGTCGCTCCAGCCTTAGACAAAAAGTGGAGCTGGATAATACAATGACCAAACATTGTATATAATGCTAAAACTTGTACTGAATCTTCTAAAAAAAATCAGCCAAACGGTGAGCACAAACTTCTATACGGCAGAAAACTCATCAAGGGGAAAACACATGGAAGCACAAAGAGTCGGTCCAAACTTCTGAAGTCATTCTAAGAAGTAGATTGTCATCAGGCATCAAGAAATGATAGCCACATAACAACCAGCCATGTGATACATGATAAGTGGCCTTGAACACATAACACTGGTGCCAGGTGAGGAAACCATTGTAGTTGCAGGAGCTGATCGCCAACTAAAGGTAAAACAACAGAAATAGCCAGTGCTTGTGCATAGCCAAAAGCCCAAAACCCTTCAGCAACATCACTGGCTAGTACCATAGACTAAACTCGGGTACAGCCAGAGGCTAGCAAGATGACTGTAGTCCGACGGGAATGAAAGACCATAGTAAAGGCTGTGAACAGTTTCTTTTCGCACTCGCTGCCCAACCTCAACAGCAGTCCAAGTTTCATCGGGGTCATCAAATAGCTTGGCAACATAAACACAGTTACTTTTTCCTCCCCATCTTTCAGGGCTCATGCAAGAAAATGCAGGATTCCTCCTATCAAGGCTAACAAACAGAGCTTGATTTTCCAGCTTCTCCATCTTCACCCACTTGGCTGGCTCGACAGAAAAGTCAAGGTGAAAGACCTTAAAGAAGTGATAACACAAGTCATCATTCAACTCGTCAGATCCTATGCGAAGGTCAAGCATGAGAAGCATGTCACCAGAGACCACCAACCATGGGCTAATAAAAAAGGATTCAAGGTCCCGCGCGATTTTTATTTTTTGCATACTGAATTCAGGTGATAAGTGTATAGTGTGGAGCCTCACAAGAACATCCATGACAAAGATGACACCTTTGAAGAACACTATCTGATGGATGCGTTCCCTTTTAAGGGCAAGAGGGTGTTCTGACCAGGAGTTTGTTCCAACCTGCCACTCAAACATGGAGGTTCCCGTGCACAGGAGGAGGCGTGAGTTGGGTGAACTAAGTGGACCTGTAAGAATGCCTATGCCACAAAAGTACCCAAGGCGGTTGTTGGATGGAAGTTTGGGGGGCTTCACCTTGGTACCATTGTGCACATCGACAAGGAGGCAGTGCTCCTCATAGGAGAAGATAAGATACCCATATGAGCAGCCCAAATAGTGCATCTGATTTGGAGTGTTTTGGGGCACAGAACAGCAAAGGGATACGTTTTTCTGGGTAGGATCACTCAGCTTCCATTTGCAGTCAGATAAAAGGACGGGCTTAATACCACGGCTATGCGGACGAGCATAAAGATCTGGCTTTAGGTGCAAAGGCGGAAAGTTGGAGGTATAAATGGAGGGGAAGGAAGAAAATGCAGCGCGCCAAGAGCGGCAAGTGCCTATAAAAGCAAGGAAGTCGTGGAAAGAATTAAAAAGAGCAATGATCTCATGAAGCAGGGTGTCCGGGAGATCTGCACAAACATGAGGTCCTGACAACAGCGAGGAGGTAGAGCCTGAGGTGCCTACACCGGCAACTTCTCTGTCCAAGAGAAAATCCAAGAGCAATGGATCAGAATAAATAAGTGAAACATATTAGAGAGTAGAGACATACAACTAATAAACTGTCAGTAGGCTTTAACTGAACAGTAAGGCAAACCAAGAGTGTCTATTTAAGCATGCTAAATTTCCACCAGAACAACATACGCCGGAACCACCTACAGCTTGATTTTTTTTTCTACAATGGCAATAACTAGAATATATTTCAGTGTGCCAACCATGTGTAAAATTTTTTATTTCAAATCATGGCAGAGGGTTTTTTTTTTGTAGAGTATCCTCAAACAGGCAGTAGTACCATCACTACCTACAACAGTAATACTCACGAGAGGCGCTTTTCCTTGATTTTACTTTGGATCCAACCTACCCGCCCAATAAACCAAGTCACATCAAGAGATGACTATAGCATTTTCCATTATATAAAAAGGGGGATAAAGCCTGTTGCACGTTTATGTGGACAATTTCGATTGTTTTAGTTTATCCCTTGTCGATAAAACGGTGTCACCGTACAAATATCCATCAAATCCCTTGTCGATAAACATAGTTCTAGGCAGGATTTAGAAGTGATCTGGAATTGACTTGTTCCATGTTAGACCATACGCAATAATGTAAACTGTATTTCTTAAACTAAAAGCCTTACGGACTTATTACACTAATTCAGAAATTACCACTACTAGTTCACCAAAATGCCCTGCCTATCGCTGTCAGTTCATCTATCACCAATGTCACTGGCGATTCACCAAAAAAAACCACGAATACCTACTAAATTACACGAATACCTACTAAACCAAATAAATTTTTTCTTTTTTTTGAAGTTAATAAAATATTTCTTGGGATGGCATGTTTGAGTACACATGAAGATGATTTCCTGTGCTTTTTTTCCATCAACCCGAACACTCTTTCACATGGTTTCCTCTGCCTTTTCATCTGTTCATCATTCCTCTGTTTTACAGGAGCTTTCCTTTCCAATTCCTCTATCTCTTTATGATCCCATGTTTTGATTTCCGCTGAACCGAACGGGGCCTTAGAGGTACCAAAAACTTCCTTCTTGTGTATCCACGAGAAAAATGAGTCATATGCTCTCCTCCAGATCATCTCCTGGCCACCAATCCTATAATCTAATACCTCGTATAGCCAGATGCAGAAGTGTGCTACAACAAATGCTAGGTATTGCTCATTGTGAGTGATACCACATCGCTCGCTAACCGGAGAAGCCATCTAGATGGCTCTATTTTAGTGGTAGCGAAGCTCTAGCTACACACGTTTTTTTTAGCGATAATCAAGCTATACCTACACACAGCTTTGTTCGGCCGATTTTATGAAACTTCTGAGACACTTCCTCTCGGTTTGGGCAAGGTTCTCCAAAAAAAACCTTGCTTTTTTCGACGAGTTTTTTAGGTTTTCTTTCTATCACTTTTTTAATCTTCTTTTTAAATTCCTTTTTTCTTTTAATTGTCTTCCTTTTTAATCCAAGAACATTTCAAGTACGTGAATACTCTTTGAATTCACAAAGACTTTTTAAAACTTGTGAACATTTTTCAAATATGAGATATTTTTCTAATTAACAAACAACTTTTAAGTCATGTATTTTTCACATTTGTTAAGTTTTTTAAAGTTATGTTTTTTTAGAATAAGCAACAAATCATGCATTTTTTAAAAAATTAATAAAAAATTAAAATCCTATTTAAAATTTTTTACAAACATTACTAATATTTGAGAATGTTCTTTTAAATTCGTGGACATTTTTTCAGCTTGTTAGAGATTTTCTAATTCAGGAACAATTTTAAAATTTGAAAAACATTTTTAAAAATTCGTGAACACTTTTTGAAATACATGAACGTTTTTTGAATTCATGAACATTTTTAATCCTAAATACACTAACTTGTTTGAAAAATAAAAACAAATATACTTTTACCTGCCAATGTACACGCTGCCTTTTTTTGACAATAGGTGCACACTGCTTTGAAAGGACCTCATACATGCCTAGGTCGAGCGTGAAGAAAATCATGGAGAAGAAAGAAAAAAGGCGGATAAGAAATAATACCATATGTTTTTGTAGGGTAAACACACTCGACTTTGTTATTCGAAATAAAGTTTTACAGGAATACCATCGGGATCAAGTTGGTTTAAGAACACATGACACCCCTATGAAAGAATAAGAGCGTGTTTAGCTAAACAATATGCCTCTACATTTGATGGGCGCCCTTCATGAACAAAGGGGCAGGAGTTGAACGCCAAAGCTCGCTGCTTGATCTCCTTGATAATGACGATGTTAGTCGTTTGTAGTATGTGGCCGGCTTCACATGAGAAAGATTGAGGTTCCGCCAGCGCTAAACCCTCTCAACAACACTCGAAAAAGACCAAACCCTCTGAATAGTTTTGGTAGAAAGCGCACACCCGTTAGACGTTGGGTCTTGGCTCATTTTCTTCTGCGCACTACATGCACACTCGTTTTTTTTTTCTACTTGTGATGTTACGGTTTAGGGAACACACTGTTGGGATCTTCTCCGCACTGCACCGCACGTAGGTCCCGTTCATGTTACGACTCGGCTGATTTCTGTACTTGTTTACTTTAGTTTCCACTGGTTTCTATTTGTTTTTTATTTTCATTTCCCCCTTTTCATACCTTTTAATATTGCAAATGTTTTCCAAATTCTCGTTTTTTGGAACATTTTTAAAGTTCATGAACTTCTTTGATTCGTGATGTTTTTTTTTAAATAACGAACATTTATCATATACACAAAAAAAATTCAAATCCATGAACTGTTTTGGAATGCGTGAAGATTTTTTTTGAGTTGGTGAGTTTTTCAAATGCATGACCTTTTTTCATATTAGCAAACTTTTCAAATTCATGATTTTGTTTTTAAAATTCAAGTACCTTTTAAAATTCATGACCTTTTTCTAAAATCTAGAAACTTTTTTTCGATTCCACACTTTTTCAACAGTATATTAAAAAAACCCAGCTGTTTTTTCCTACACCAGATCAACAGCAGAAAAAATCGGACACCTAGGCCCAGCCGAGCGTGAGTTAGGGCGACAACTAGGCCGCTTGTAACGAGCCGGGCCTCACAACATTAGCGTGCAGGCCCAGGCCCAGGGGTTCACCATCGAGCCGGCTACAAAAGGAAGGGAGCGGAAACCTAATCTGCAGGGTTCGCTTCCCCACTACTCCCCTCGCCTGCCGCCGCCACCCACCTTCGCCGGCCTTGCCTCGCCTCCTGTAACCACGCCGCCGCCTCCCCGCCTGCTCTCGACCTGCTTCGCTGGCGCTCTGGCTATCGGCGCCGCGCGGGACGAGCAGCGGTGGAGAGCCGCACGGCCGCGTAGTCCGTAGGAGCTGCCGCAGCGATCCCGCCCTAAGATCGGCGAACCGGGAGGCGAGCTCCCACAGATATCTATCGATCCCAGTAGGCTCAATCCCGGTAGATCCTTACCTTGAACGCATGTTTTCGGCTGTTGTTTTTCTTGTGCGTACTCGCGTTCCACTTAGCATGTAATTCCTCAGCTTATGTAGTTTTGTTGTGGTTGATTGACGTCCCTGTGAAGATGAAATTCAGGTCCAAAGACGATTGGTGACTGGTTTTAGCCTCAAGCCATCTCGTCTTGCAGTTTTGGTGAGCTGGTGGCTTGGGGCTAAAACCATTGTTGAGGGTCGTCGGTGATGGCCAAATTAGCTATGAGATCTGAGGGATACCGGCAATATGACTACATAATACTTCCTTCTCCTTTGGTTTCTACTATACATCAGATTGTATCATTGAGTGTATGATTGCCCTGTTGAGTAGCTTTATCTGTTTTATCTAGTTCAAGTAGCAGTCAGTGTCCCAATGAAGAAAAAATTACAGTACCAAAGATGAATGGTCGATTAGTTTTAGCTTCAAGCCATGCTAGTATATTCTTTGTACCTGTGGCTTGTGGCTAAAACTAGTTTGCTTGTAATTTCATCCGTGATGGCCATAGCTATGAGATCCGAGGGATGCTTACTATTTGAGCCACGTAGCCTGTTTCTGCTTTGGTCAACCTTAATTGCTCTTCTAGGTATAATATGAATTATGTGTCTGGTTTTTGAGACTGCGATCTGTTCTTGATTTAGATGGAAGTGAGGATCCTTTCCCCAAATGATCGACTATGATTATACTGTGCGCAAATGTAATCCTTTATCAGAGGATTCCAAGCCAGAAATCTGATCCATCCCGTCCAGCCTCTATCCCCTTTTCTCTTCAATACTTGACCTTTGTTTTTCTGATTTGTTCTGTAAATTGAATGGAAGTGAGGATCCTTTCCCCAAATGATCGACTATGATTATACTGTGCGCAACTGCAATCCTTTATCAGAGGATTCCAAGCCAGAAATCTGATCCATCTTCGTTATCTTTGCCTCCTTGTTTTTTAATTTTGTTTCTTTTTCACTAAGAAATCCGAATTGACTTGCCCTTTTTAACTATACTGTGCACAAATGTAATCCTTTATCACAGGATTCTAAACCAGGGATCTGATGCACCTTGCTTTATTTTGTTTTATTTTCTGATTTGGCTTTGTTTCTTTTTTTTCGAAGTTGACTGGAAGTGAGGATCCTTTCCCCAAATGATCGACAGTGATTATACTGCGCGTAACTGTAATCCTTTATCAGAG